GGGCCTTGTAGGCAATCTATAGTGATTTTGGATTTTACTCTGAGAGTTTGGTGCTGGAGCGACATAATCCAATTTATATTTCATAGGATTACAGAGGCAGTTCTGAGTAGTGTCCGAAGTGGGCTAGGGTGGAAGCAGGGAGCCTCGTTGGGAGGCTACTGCAATAATCCAGGTGAAGAGTGATGAAGACTCAGACGAAGATGGTAGCAGAGGATCCTAGAGACATTGTGAAGGTAGAGTCGGGATTTGCTGACAACTTGGCTGTAGATTGCAAGAAAGAGAAGAGTCAAGAATGAGGAGGACTTAGATACACAGCACAAGCTCAGTTTGGGACAGATTATGTTTGAGAATGTTATTCAGCATTCAAGTGGAGATGTTGGATGGACAGTTGGATGCATAAGTCTGGAGTTTAGAGAAGTCTGGTTGGAAATAAACATTTGGGAGTTGCCAGCACATTAATCATATTAAATGCTATGAGAGCTCACCATGGTGATGAGAACAGACCAAGAACAGAGCCCTAAGTCTCCATCATTTAGTGGTTTGACTTGAATTTGGTAGATAGGCCCTGTTCTCCCAGGGATGGAATGTCTGCTTAGTCTGGCAGCTGTAATTATGGTTATTTTGATAGCTCTGGTAACACTTTCTCTTGGGGAGGGACAGAGGAGAATCGGAGAGGGGGAGGCCCACATTCTTGTTGTCATTACAAGATCTACAGTGTGGCGTTCTCAGAATATGGAGTGAACTTAAGCACTAATGATAATCTGCAGAAAGAACCTGCTTTCAGTGTGTTTTAGCCAATATTTTTTTGGCTGCAAATAACAAACTTTAAGCTTGCTTAAACTGTATGGAAAATAAAGACATTGCATGCTGTACAGAGCTGGAGGGCAGGAGGGCAGCAGGGGCTCAAAAACAAATCTGCCCGAGGAGGCTCCGGTATGGAAAATAAAGACATTGCATGCTGTACAGAGCAGGAGGGCAGCAGGGGCTCAAAAACAGATCTGCCCGAGGAGGCTCCATGGTTGTATTTTTCTCTCCCTCCACCTCCGTCTCTGCTCCTTTCTGTACATGTGCCTGACTCTTTTTTCTCTCTCTGCAGATTGTTTTTTTCCATCTCTTTCTGGCTTCAGGCGCAATGTGGCATAGCACTCCCCTCCCCACTCCAGCAGCCAGATCACGCCCTTATCCCACAAAGGCTGATTTGCATTCTTTCTCAGCGCCCAGTGTGATGGGTCTAGTGTCTTTCCCTGACCCAGTCCTCTATGATGGGGAGTAGGGGGCAGGTCTCACTGTCCAACTTCAGCTGCAGAGGTCAAATCGTGTGGATGAGAGACAGGTCTTAGAAGACAGAGATCAGGTGAGTAGGACAGACACCTGAAAGATGACCACTGCAGAGAGTGTGATGTGTTGTCTGAGAAGTGGCCATCAACTAAGTCTAATCTAGTGACTAGAGTGTTTCTCAGAATAATCCAAGTGTCTGCCTTAGGTTTGCCTTTGCTGAACTGGGCTTTTATTGAAGGTCTCTGTTAAACACAGCTACATGAGAGTCACCTTTGCATTTATGATCAAGTGGTAGTGAGAGCATTACCTATTGTATATATCGTTTGATGTTCTTACATGATACTTTTAGACTTTTTTTGTTCCAGAAGTTATTTCTCTAAGGAACAACAGGCATGAATGAGCGCTTTAAAACTTGTCAGTTTGCCCTTTTGAATGGCCTCAAGTAAGGCCCTATTAACTGTGCAGTTAGTATGCATGGCTGAGCTGAGCTGGACCTTTTAGGCAAGATTATACTTAAGCAATCCAAATTAAAATAGCCAAAGGATAATCTACATCTCTCTGGCGAGGGATCTCAACTCAAATGCCCGTAGTGTCCAGGCAGTTAACCAAGGTGATCTGGGTAGGCTAAAGATAGTAAGCATAAATTGTATTGAGTTCACATGTAACTTAGCTGCCTAATAACATTGCCATTTAAAACACTAGGCTGGCCAAAAGCCAAGTACAATCCAGGTTGCCAGTTGTCAGACCCCAGAGCCTCACTCGGCTCACTGGTCTTAAGCTCCTCAGTGTGGGGTCCCTGCATAGGATGGTTCCCCACCTAAAACCAGCTTGTCCTCCCCAGCAGGACAGGGCCTTCCCCTCTCACCTGGTAGGGCCAAGGCCCATTCCATCCAGGCTTCATATCCAGAAACATATGACTTCTCTTTCCTGCCTAAGATCTGCCTCCCGTGTTCCTGTTTCTTGCTGATATCCTACCTCTTCTGAGGACTGTCCGCTCCTTGCAGGGGATACCTTCACCCTGACCTACAGGAATGCAACCAGCCATGTCCTCTACAAGAGAGTCCTGTCAGGATGCCACAAGGGAGCCCAGCATCAGGGCAAGGAAGCACACACTGTTATTCTGGGAGGGGGCGCTTTCTATAGGTCACGCATGTGTTATGCATTGAAAATAGAAAGGAGGTGCCCTTGAGAGCAGACCCAAGCATTCTCAGTGTTGTCTCCAGATTACAGGTGAATATGCAAGCATCTTGATTTTGCAGCAGTACTTATACATTTGGTTGCTGGGAGTGAAGCCCTGTGTGCCAAGTCACCTTGGGGCAGCTAATTGACTTCAAGGCTAAAGAGACAATCACCAGCAACAGGTGCTCTGCCTTTCTCCTTCAGCACTCACCTCCCACAACCATTTGTTTCTAAACCAAAAGGCAAGAGAGTGGCCTTTCAAGTTTGAGAACTTTGTATTTAAAGAGAATAAAATCCAGCACAAGCCATTAAGATGGCAAAAATCCTGAAGAGTGTGTGGGAATCTCACTGCTTATAGCATTGTGTTTGAAGTGAAAATAGCAACATGTTTAAGAAACTTAAAAAAAGAGAAGAAAAAAAGATTTACAATTCTACCATTCCACATAAGAGACTATCTTGTGAATAGTGCATTATTCAAGGGGCAGATTTTTTTTTTTTGCACTTTAAACTATTTTGACTCTAGCACTTTTGGACATTGCTGATTCTAAGGAAAATAAAATTGAAAGCAGCCTTCTATTTGGAGATACTATTGAAGCATTCTTTGCCACAGGCATTGAGCAGAGGGGATGGTAAAGACTTTAATTATAGACAACTGGATTTGAAATCACCCAGTAGTGATGACCTCAGACTTCAGTCCTGGAGAGAGGAGGAGGGGGTGTGTGTCCTTAGCCAGCTGGCCAGTGCTTGGGTAGGGGGCACTAAGGTGAAGAATCTGAGTCCGGCATGGACCTGTGCCTGCCATGAAGGGCCAGTGTGGGGTTGGGGGACTGTGAGCACGCAGCTCATCTCCACTCAGCAGAGACTCACTGAGTGCCTCCTTCGTGTCAGATTTCTTCTAGGCACAGGGGATTCAGTGGTGAGGCACCTGGCCTCACCAATCTTATGATCTAGAAGGGGAAGATAAAGTAATGAAACAAGATAATTTTGGATTGAGGAGTTATCGTATAGAGAGCAACCTCTGTGTGCTGCGTGGGGGATTAGGGAGAGCCTCTGTGATGTCTAGAGGGTCAGAAGGACTCAGCCATTTCGAGTGAGGAAGAGTGAGGGCCAGTATCCTGACGCAGGATAGAGCATGAGAAACTTTCAAAAGGTCAGTGGTTATAGTGCAGTGATTACAGGGGAGGACCATGCAAGACAAGCTTGGGGAGAGACACAGGGGCTGCACCAACAGGCATGGAAAGGAAGCTTTTGGGCAATAGAATCGTGTAACCTGACTGGTGTTATGAAGACCTTTCTAGCTGTTGTGCTGTGAATAAAGTATAGCGAATAGGGGCAGAAGCCTGCTGCACAGTCCAGGAAAGATCAAAGGAGCCAAGAGATCCCTATTTGTTTTCCTTTTTTGAGGGTAAAACAGATTAAACCTCTACATGCTTATTGCAGCGAGCATTGCAGTGGTTGCCCATTAATGAACTTATTATTGACCTATTGGCATCTGATTATCAGTTAGGTCTGGGTGATAACAAAAGGGCAGGGAAGGAGCTCCCTCCCAGGCAGAACCTTGGGCTGATAAGAGCAGTATAACCAACCACAGCAGGTGTGCAAAGGAGAGGCTGGGACTGTTCACTAGGAAAAGAGCAACATCTCCCCCGCCTGTGGTCGGTTGCCTTGCTCAACTCCTTCCCAGTCTCCTCTTCCTTCCCTTAGGAATCATCATAGTGGAGTTAAGCAGAACAGGAAGGCAACAGATGGACACCCTGATCAACAGTTAATAATCACAAGTAGTCAAGGTGCTGCGTAGCCTTGAGGTGAAACCAAGTGATACGTGGCCTGTTGCAATAAGATTGATTTAATCTTGAAAGGGGGTGGGAGGGTGGTGGGAGAGACTGTGCGTGTGTGTTTTCGTTTAGGTTGATTAAAGCTTGTCAGATTTTGTAGCTCCAGTCTCTATCCCATAATGAGTTACTGATGAATTCAGCCTTAGAACCACACCGTGTATTTGGTGGGGTGAGAGAGAGAGGTGTAGAGCTGAGTCAAATAATACCTGGTTCAGGGCTGGAAAAGTTGCCCACAGAAGCATATGGGCAAATTGAGAATGATGGCTGATGTCCTAGATAACCACAGATTGATGATTTTCTGAATATGAGGAACATAGACAAGAGAATGAGGCTCATAGAGTTGGATCCCTGAGGATCACTCGTCTGGTTCAACCTCTTCATGCTACAGATGGGTGATGACTCGTTCAGGATTACCCAATGAGATGGCGGCACAGCCAGAACCAGAACCCAGGTTTCTAGATGTCCTCGCCTCCTGAGTCTTTCCATCACATGAGACTGCAGTTTGAGAGGAAGGTACAGGAGGGGACTGCCTGCTGCCATGACTGGACCTGGGTTAAACAGGCAGAGCCCAGTTTGACTTTCACAACCTGGAAGAGAAATGGCCACTCTTGCCTAAACCCCTGAAGACAATGAGGCAATGCTGAGGGCGCATTTTGTGTTTCAGGACCCGCCAGGAGGAGGCCTACTATTCTACCTCTTGTAGCCACAATGTTGACCACCCGCTTCTCCAGACCCCTGTCACAGCTCCTAGGGAAAACCTTGAGTTTCTCTGACAGAGAAAATGGAACGAAGTAAGAAACTGAAAGGTGAAGGTGGCCTTGAGGGTCATGCTGTCTGGGCAAAGCAGAGCTCCTTACACATGGATGATCATGAAAGTGGCAATAGGCCTGACTCTCAAAGGTGTCTCTCAATACCTGCTGTCTATCAGCAAAGGAAACTCAAAGGTGTCCCCAGGCGACTGACACCTCCCAGCGCACACAGGGCACGGAAGGATATCTTTCATCAGATGGTTTTTAAACTTTTTATTTTGAAATAACTACACTTGAACGAAAGTTGCAAAAATAGTACATAGGGTTCCTGTATCCTCTTCACCTAACTTCCCCTAATGTTACAAAACCACAGTGCAATCATGAAAACCAGGAAATTACCGCTGATATAATACTGTTAACTAACCTACATACCTGATTCAAATTTTGCCAAATAACCCATTCATGGACCTTTTCCTGGCCCAGGAGACAAACCAGGGTCCCACAGTGAGTTTAGTTGTCGTGTCTCCTTACTCTCTTCCTGTTGGGGGCAGTTCCTGAATCTTTGTTGTTCTTGACCTTGACATTTGGAAGAACATCTCTCAGTTTGAGTTTATGTGGTATCTTCGTGTTTAGATTCAAGTATGCATGTTTGGAAGAATGCCACCCAAGTGAGGTGGTGCGTTCTTAGTGCATCACATCAGGAGGCACAGGGTAGGATGTTAATGTGTCTCATTACTTTAATCGCCTGGATAACTGCTCTTTTCAAATCTTACACATGAAACCAGTTAACTAAAATGTCCTGAGACTTCAGTGAACTGCTTTGTGTGATTTAGAGAAAGCATTAAGTAAGTACAAATTAAACAAACTCTCTCTCTTTGAGAGCTTCTAGGATTGCCTTTTTCAAGGACATTCAGTGCGCTCTGCCACCTCATTTTCCTCTGTCGCAGCCAGAGCGAGGAAAAATAATACCTTTTTCTTTTATATTTGAGAGGAGTGAAATTAACTGTCAGGTTAAATTCAAAGTCCCAGCAGCTAGAAAATTGATGGATATTTTCTATGCCAATAAATATGTTTAGAAGAACATGCATTTAGGCTTTTAGCAGCATTTGCATAAAAGCATTTCTACTGAATATAGCAGCTTGATAGGAGATGGGGCTTCAACTGCCAGAGGACACCATATAAGAAGCATTAAAATAGCCCTTCCAGCAGAGGGGACATCTCATCGAAGAAGGAACAGAGCCTAGCTTTTGAGAAAGGTGAGTTACAGCAATTTTTTCAGTGAGCGATTCATAGAAATGACAAAATCTGTCCGAAATGTGGTTTTTAGAGGTTTCTGGAGATTATTTTTTTATAGAAGAGAAAATAACCTCAAAGGAAGTTAAATATTTTTACAAAGATTTCATCCTCAAAGAGAAGTGGGGAGTTAGTCAAGCTTCTGGCTCATTTGAGGAGAAAGAAAGGCTGTCACGGGGAGATTCTGAATCTTCTGGAAGGATTGTAGAAATAATCTGGTTAGGCGGAGGGCCTGGGGGCAGGGAGGTCAGCGGCAGAGCTGCATCAGCATGCTTTAGCTGTCCTCAGGGCAAGGGCGCCAGCAGAGGTCTGGGAGGGAGACCCAGACCTCTGAGAGGAGGGTGGAAGGGGGTTGATCACTGTGCCTAGGTCAGATAGGAGGTCTTCAGGTAGGGAAAAACTTTGGCCTGATTATTTTTCTTGAATCTCAGTTGGAAAGGGCCTAATACTCCTGTCCCCATTTGTGGGTGGATCCTGTGATAGTGTCCGTAACAAGTGTCCTTACAGCCTTTACATGACCATCTCCAGCCATGAGGCACTCAGTACCTTTGCAGTAGGCCTCCTGTCTTAGGACAGTGCTATTGGAAAGTCCTTCTTCATATAGAGCAGAAATCTTTTCTCCTGTAAATGCCACCCCCTTATTCCTGGGTCTGCCCTTTGTATTCACACTGAAAAAGTTAATGTTAATGCCACCTCAATACCCCCCACCCTGACTTCTCATTACATCTGCATGTTTTTCATTGCTCATCTCCTCTGGTTTCTCATTCAGCATCCAGGTCTCCCATTTGAATAGTGTCCATTTGTTCTGTGCCCTGAACAGAGCACCACACTCCACACCCACCTCCCCCTCCTGCCATGTGTACCTGCCTCAGAGCAGCAGTCACCTAGTACACACTATCCAGATGAAAACCTCCCCTAAGAGTGGCTGGATGTGGTCCCCACCCTGACACCTGACAACCTGCTCTGCTTACCTGCTCTGCACAGCCTCCACTTTTGGATACGACTTAGCGATATAAAGGAACAAATTATTGCTACATGTAACATATTGGGATGAATCGCCAGAGAATGATGTAGCGCGAAAAAACGCAATCTCAAAAGTTTGCATATTGTAAAATTCTATTTATATATCATTCTGGAAATGACAAAATTATAGAGATGGAGGACAGATTAGTAGTTAAAGAGGATGTGGGGTGGGAGTGAAGTGGGTATGGCTATAAAAGGGTAACATTTGAGGGATTCTTGTGGTGACAGAAATGTATTTTCACTGTATGGAAGTCAACATCTGGGTTGTTATATTGTCCTCTAGTTTTGCAAGATGCTAACATTGTCCTCTAGTTTTGCAAGATGCTAACATTAGGGGAAATCGGGTATAAGGTATGGGGCATCTCTCTGTATTCTTTCTTAACTGTACATGAATCAACAATTATTTCAAAATAAAAAGTTTAATTAAAATAACTGTCAGGAAGCAGCATAAAACCTAAGGGTTATTAAGACATGGAATTCGCAGAAGGCTTTGTTAACAAAGCTATATCACTGGAAAGTCCTTCCTACACAGTGGCAGTAATGGTCACTACAACTGCTGGCCCACTGTCTCCTAGTCTAGCAACCCTAAAGGAAAGAGTAGCTTTTCCTCAGTAGTACCAGCAGGTTGTCCTTGGGGGCTGGGGGTGGGGAGACAGCAAGTGCTGCTCACTGGTGGCTGTGGGTACTCTGAGTTGCTTCTGCCCCAGGAACAAGGTCTGGGTGTGACCGCAGCCTGTGCTCATGGCTTCCTTTTCTCTTGCAGGCGCACATGGCTGTTTTACTCTGTCTCCTTTGTCCCTGAGGGCTGTCACACTTAGGCCAATGCGGTGAACCCGGTGAGTGGCAGCCCAGCTACTTAGTAACCAGCCAGGTGGTTAGAGCCTTTCCCTCTGGGCCCCCAGGTCCTGAGCCACCCTCAGAGCAGGGCCTTGGAGCTTCCAGAACACTCGAGCCACTTTCTCACTTAACCCCTCACCCCCAAACCTCTCATCAGATAAGTTACAGGTTAAGAGTTTAGACTCTGGAATCTCTCAGGCCTGGTTTCAATTTCAGTTGTTTCACTTCTATCACCAAGTATATTGAATATTTATTAAATATCTGTTTCCTCATTTATAACATGGTATAGTAATCATAATTATTATAAGGAGTTATTAGAGTTAAATAAGAATAATGCATGCACAGTGCTTTGCTCACGGCAAGTAATAATGACGATGACACTGGACGTGATGATGGTGATAATGGTGATAGCTGATGAGGAAACAGGTTCAGAAAGGAGAAATAACTTCCCAAGCAACATTAGTAGTTGATGGCAGAGCCTGGGTTAGAACCGGGTTTCCTGATTCTGAGTCTAAGCTTTTTCCACTATACTATGGTGCTTCTCCAGACAGAAAGAGCCAGGTGGGGAGGGCCAGGCCTGGCCCACTCAGTGAGTACTAGTTGTTACTGACCAAAGGAGGCCTGATTACTCTGCTTTCAAGACCCTGGTTCCTAACGTGGAGTCTAACCTTCTAAAACAGGTTGGCAGCAAAGCTGTCCTGGTTACAGGCTGTGACTCTGGATTTGGGTTCTCCTTGGCCAAGCATCTGCATTCGAAAGGCTTCCTTGTGTTTGCTGGATGCTTGATGAAGGTAAGGGGCAGGTCATCTTTCTTAGTATTTCCTTCACACATGGTCATTGTTTTGTAAGGCGTTTTTCTTTTTTATTGCAGTAAAATACGCGTGATATAAAATTTACCATCTTAACCATTTTTAAGTGTAGTGTTCAGTGGTATTAAATATATTCACATTGTCTAAGTACCTCATGTAAGTAGAACCATACAGTATTTATCTTTTTGTGACTGGCTTATTTCACTTAGCATATATCTACATGGTTTGTCCATGTTGTGGCATTTTTTCTTTTTTATTGCAGTAAAATACGCGTGATATAAAATTTACCATCTTAACCATTTTTAAGTGTAGTGTTCAGTGGTATTAAATATATTCACATTGTCTAAGTACCTCATGTAAGTAGAACCATACAGTATTTATCTTTTTGTGACTGGCTTATTTTACTTAGCATATGTCTACACGGTTTGTCCATGTTGTGGCATATTACAGAATTTCTTTTTTTAAGTCTGAATTATATTATATCATATTATATTACATTTTACTTCTCCATTCATCTGTTGATAGACACTTGGGTAGCTTCCATGTTTTAGCTACTGCGAGTAATGCTGCTGTGAACATGGGTGTACAACTATTTCCTTGAGACCCTGCTTTTAATTCTTTTGGGTGTATACCCAAAAGTAGAATTGCTGGATCATATGGTAATTCTATTTTTAATTTTTTGAGGTATAGTCAAACTGTTTTCTACAGTAGTTGTACCATTTTACCTTCCCACCAACGGTGCACAAGGGTTCCAGTTTCTCCACATCCTTGCCAATACTTTTTGTTTTCTCTTTCTGATAGTAGACGGATGTGAAGTGGTATCTCATCGTAGTTTTGATTTGCATTTCCCTAGTGATAGTGATGTTGAACATCTTTTCATGTGTTCATTGGTCATGAGTATGTCTTCTTCGGAAAAATGTTTAAGTCTTTTGACCATTTTTGAATTGGGTTAGTTTTTTGTTGTTGAGTTTCAGAAGTTCTCTATATATTCTGGATCTTAATCCTTTATCAGATATATGATTTCCAAATATTTTGTTCCATTCTGGGGTTCTCTTTTTACTCTGTATCTTTTGATGTACAAAATTTCAAAATTTTTAGAAAGTCCAATTTGCCTATTTTTCTTTTGTTACCTGTGCTTTTAGTGTCATGTCCAAGAAACCACTGCCAAATCCAATGTTTTGAAGCTTTTGTCCTATGTTTTCTTCTAAGAGTTTTATTGTTTTAGTCTTACATTTAGGTCCTTGATTAATTTTGATTTAATTTCCATACGTGGTGTTAGGTAAGGGTTCAACTTCATTCTTTTGCCAGCACCATTTTCTGAAACAACTGTTCTGTCCCCCATTAAATAGTAAAAAATCATTTGACTATATATGTGAGGGTTTATTTCTGGGCTCTTTTGGAATGCATCCAGTGGAATTCAGGGCATGTGAAGGGAAACACTGGGACATGAGGCTACAAAAGTAATTAGGGGACAGTTTCCCCAACTTAGAGAGTTCTGAAACCATCACCACAGTTCACTTTTACAACATGTCCATTTCTCCAAAATTTCTCGCTTGACCATTTGCACACCTACCACACCTACCTCTAGTCCTAGACAGCCACTTCTTTCTGATTTGTCTATTCTGGACTATTCATATGAATGCCATCATACTGTGCACAGGCTTTTGTGTCAAACTTCTTTCACTTAGCACAATGTTTTTGAGATTCATCTATGTTGTAGAACTTATCAATAGTTCATTCCTTTTTATTGCTGGATAGTACTCGATTGTATGGATATACGACATTTAAAAATTCATTCACTTTTTAATGGATATTTGGGTAAAAAAGTTGGAATTTTAGTTATTATGAACAATGCTGCTATGAACATTCACATACATTTCTCTGTTTCTACCTTTTTTTTAAATGGAATTTAGAAACAAACATCTGGCCATGAAGTGTGCTCATTGCTAATGTGGCATTGCCGCTTTTTGTCCTTCTCAGTGGACAGAGCTAGAAGATGTATAAATAACCACACACACATATATACATATGCGTACACTATATCTGTATCTATTTATCTCTTATCTACATTTCCTATAAATATCATCCGCACACATAATTCATAGGTTATACTGACCTCCTATTCCATTTCAACACAAGAGCATCCTTTCTTGCTTTCCTCATTTTGTTTTTGTTTCTTTCTTCTCCTGCAGTTAGAATTCTGATCCTCATTTGGTTAATCCTATGGTTAATACACACAATAGCTTCAGAATTGCTGCATTCACACCATTACAAACAGCAAAGCTACCAAGTAGTTGTCTCAGCTTAGATTCTCCAAGAAGCAGAGGCCACAATAGGATTAAATATCCAAGAGACTGATTTGGGAAATGTCTGTAACGGCTACTGAGGAACAGGGCAGGTATGTGCAGGGAAATCCTTTAAATTGCAATGCAGGTCTGTGGGAAGAAATTGGAAGAAAGGAGGATTAGGCAGGCAGAGCTTCTGACTGCAGTGCAGTCTGAGTCTTGGCTAGGATAATGGGGAGTCTCCGAGCAGGTTACCTG